AAATTTAATTTCATATACTCGTTCTATATTAGCTCCCCCAATTTTCAATTGAAGTTCATTATCTAGTCTATGATTCCCAAATACCATAAATTTAGTTTTATCCAAATTCAGAGATTTTGCCTACCTAGTTGAATGTAATTTTGCCTATGTACACACACTCACAGTGAGATAATATTTCTTTTCCTATTTGTCAACCTTTACCCTGTTGTCACTGTTTTAGAGAACCGACCTAAGGCGAGGGTTGTGCCCTGATAAGGCACTGTGCTGTAGCCTTATGGTTAGTGAGTGGAGGAGGACAGTAGCTGGCTGCTGAGTGTTCGTCCCAGTAGACTAGCTCATTGTGTCACACGGTCCTTACATAACTACAGGCCTGCAGGACAACAACACTGTGTCTGTCTCTGTCGCTGACTCTCTTCTGCTACAGCTGACAAAGTTCCTGAGTGCCCCTCTGCATCGCTCCCGCCCTGGTGTCAGTTCTCCCTTTACCCTCCCTCTCATTATTGCTCCTCGCTTTTCTTCTCTCGTTCTGCCCCTCTCTGTCTATCACCCTTTCTCTCCTCCTCCGCCCGCACATTTTTGTCTCCTCTAACAGCAGTGTTGCGACTCTTTGCAGCTGGTCTGACACTGAGCTCATCTGTTCCTCTGATTTAGTGTACTGTGCACTGTGTGTGTACAGTACATACCAAGTGTGCTCATGCCCAAGAAAAGGGAGCGACATATAATAATGATTTGCTGTTGTTTTCACATTTGGTCACAGTGTATTGATTAAACAATGTGATAACTGATAAAATGTATTAACTGGCATGTTTAAGAGGTGCTCGTAGTTGGGACTTTGTTACCTGTGGACTTAAATAGACTGACTCTGTTTCCAATCTTTATGCCAGACTAAGCTAACTGTGTCTTGGCTGTGCCTTCATATTTAACACATGGACACGAGAGTGGTATTGATCCTCTCTGAAAGAAAATAAATGAGCATATTTCTCAAATGGTGACCCGTTCCACCAAATACCCTCTTTTTTGAGCAACTGACAGTTGTTTGTTTGTGTTAGTGCATATTCATGTTCTTACTTTGTGTGTTGTGTGAGAGTCCTGAAAGGAAACCTCTCTCAGCTTCTGTTCCTCTACAAGGATGTCCCTTAGGTGTTCATTCACCTGGAGAGAGAGAGATCAAGGTCACATTTCACAACTCTATGGTGGACACTGACACACTGAATAGTGACTTTTGTTGAGGAGAGGAGAAACCTGAACAGGTGTACAAGAGGCTCCACACATCAAAGTAAAACTTTTCACCACCACCTCATTCAGTTTTAACAATCTGTCCTTCTGTCTGGCTCCAGGATATAGAAAATGATAAGGATAATGGATGGATGCGTGTGTAAATGAATCCTACATGTGTATCTTAATGTCTTTGGACTGTAAAATGAAGGCAGGAGCTCATAAGTTTCTTCGGTTTGAAATGCTGGCAATAACCGTATGTTTAATTGATTAATTCGTGTATGTTGGGGCTCGCGCCATTATTTTAAACACAGTAAAATTAAGACAACTGTGTCAAAATTTCCTTGAAATCTCCTGCAGGACCAGTAAAAGCAACTTGAAGTGACTAAACAATCTGTAAGATTATGAGATAAAGTAAAAATACAATCACAGCTACTGCCCTCTTGACTCCAGTCCTGCTTTAGCAGACCAGAGGAGGTTAGCTTGAGTTATCGCTGGGAAATCTCTCTGACACTATTATGTGGTTGGTGCCAGTTCTATTAAATTTTGAAGCAGCAGTTGAAGAACTAAGCGGCACCTCTTGTGTCTTTTACAGCATATCTGGAGTAAAACAAAGAACTAAGTGTCAAATAAAAAGCCACCATTGTAAAAGCCTCCTGGATGTGTAGCTGTTAAAAGCACATGTCCTTGTGGTTTAGCGTACACACTTCTGCATACCTTGTTGATCCAGGTGGTGACTGCATCCTCTGTGTCATAAGGTAGCTCCTGGATGTGTCCGTCACTGTGTGAGGGTTCAGTAGAGAAGTATCTGTTGATGCAGGACATCACCCTCTCCACACTCACCATCTCCACTGTGTATGCCATCATCAGGGTATCTATGAGTGCCAGATGGGAACTCTGTAGAGAGACACACAGCAGCAAGCAGTCACAAGATTAATTTAAGTCCAGATAAAGGCCTAGATAACTTCATCCTTCCATGCCAGTGCTTCTTTGTGCTTTTGCACATTACATGGACTGTCAGCTGTGGGTCACTGTGTTAAGTGCAAAGTTACCCCAAAACTGCTAGAATAACAGCATTCAACCAAAAATGAATGTTTGCTTTTCAATGGTACACTGAATATTCACCTTGCATTCATGCAGTGTGTCAACCATGACATATTTTTGTAATTAATCTGGTCAGACTTAAACATGTAGGAACAGTTAATGACACTTGAGTTTCCATGGGGAGTTGGCTTCTAACAGTTATATTTCTTCTGTACCCACTGTCTGTTTAAACTGGCAGAGAAACATGTGGTGCTGATGCTGAGCACCAGCACTGCTCAGAGCTGTAGCACTGGATCAGTTGTTTGCTTGTTGGGGAAACATTTGGTCACACTGGCTGTTACTTGAGGCTGTGTGGTTATGAACAGAGGCCTATGTTTGACAGAACAGGCTGCGGTGGAGTGAGGTGTCACTGCTTATTTGTGTCTGCTGGATTTAGTCGAATGAATCATAAAGCACCTTCATGATTTTGGGTGTTTGCTCAGTTTGGTTGGGCACAGACACAGCAGACGTAAACCCACACACACACACACACACACACACACAGAACATGAATGTTTCATAGTAGACCTGTGGTGTGACAGGAAAGGGAAGGGGAGGTTCTGTTGGTCAGACTGTTCTGATATGGGATTAGAAAGGCCAGGAGAATGTCAAGCTTTGTGTAGGTGCTGATAGCTGGTAAAACCACTCACATGAAGTGGATGACTCCAAATGAGATCATGTGTGTACTATAAAAGTAGTTCTGCAGACATTTAAGAGTGTAAAGTGGTTTCAACTGCCATGAGACAAGCAAGGTAGGAGAAACTGCAACCAGAAATCTTGGATAGGATTCCTCAGCAGGTTTAAAGCATGAAAGATTTTCTCTAGGTGCAGTAAAATGAATCTGTTACATACACGCTGAGCTAACACATACCAGATCTCTGCTTACATAGCAAACACCTGCATAGTGCCTTCACTGATCTGCCGCTGAAGTTAACAAACACAGAAAGAGGAAGCAAAGTTAGTGTGAAAAGTAAAAAAACACCACAGAGGAACAAGCCGTATAGATAATGGATAGATAGAAACACTGTTACTTGCTTTATAGAAATGCTCATCCTCATGATCTGCACCTAATAAATATCATGTCATGTTGAATTGTTTACTCCTATACCTGTATCTTATTATATGGGTAAACAAGATTGTCTGGATTGGTGCTTGATCACACAGGCCTGATATTAAACTTTCTATGAAACAGTGTGCAGACACTGTTTTGATTCCCGTATCTGCAGGAAATTGCCAGATATTTTACATTGTGTGCAGTCTCCTCCAGAGGTAAAGTGGCCAGTCTGGGTGACAGCGAGACTGACTGATTGAAAGACAGGGAGGTGGGGGTGCGAGGCTGCTTGGACTGGAGCTGGAGATCCAGAAAACATGATGTTCATGAAAACCCACTAAGCTCTTCCTGTAACTGGAGCCTTTCTGAGCTAGTTTGCATAAAACCCCCAAATCTTTAATGTTAAGAAGCTTGTGAAGGTGTGTGTCTGTGTGTTCACACCTCTGGGTGGAGAAGTCACATGAATTTAAATGAGAGTGACAAATCACTGTGTTAGTTTAGTTTTCTTTTTTTAAACGAACATCTTCATTCAGATATGTAAAATAGCAAAATGGTTAATATTTTTGTTTGCCTCCACAGTGGAATGTAATGGTTTGCCCATCAATTCACAAATGTGTATATTTTGTAGATTTTCTAAAGGATTGTCCTAAAATTATTAGAGGTGGGATGGGGGTTGAGAAGGAGGAGAATAGTCGACTTTTTAGAGATGTATCAGGGTCGATTTGTCCATATTTTAAATGACCAGTACTGGCCACAATAAAACTCATCAAATCCTGATTGTTCTTTACTTTGACTCTACTGCTGCAGTTCTCAATCTGCTTTGCATGTGTGAAAGCAACACTGAACACACAATGCTAAGCTCAACTTGCTCTGTAATTAAAATGCATGAGTGGTGTCAATCTTCTCATCTGTTTGTACTTCCTAAAATGTCAAACTATTCCTTTAATAACACTGGAAAGGCCTTGGTATCGACTGACCTCCAATTTCTAACATCACATTTTATTCTGTGCTATGTCTGTACATACATGTGTGGAGTGCATATGTACATATACAGTAGGTGTGGGCCCAACAGACACAGAGAGTATGTGGAGCCACTGCTTACATATCTACAGACTGGTTCTTGTCATATCCACAGGGGAAAAACCCAACTGTTGACACTATACTATGGATTCAAAAGCCATGTGCTGTCTATTATCCCTTCACAAAGATCTTCGGTGTGCGTGTGTGTGTGTGTGTGCGCGCACGCAAAGAAGCAAGTCTGAAGCACTCATGGTGAGAGACACGCCTTATAAGGCTGTGGAAAGGCAGACACTGGTCCTAAAGAGCTGTGGTACACCTATGCACACTGTCTAACAGGAGCATCAGTATTCATTCTCAGTACCGTTGACTGGCTGGGTTTGTGTGTGTATCCTTGATCAAAGGCAAAGAAAAGCACAATACAGCTGAACAAACAGATAATCAAAGTAGTATCATTCACCACAAACATCACAAGTGCCCCTTCAATGCAGCTACACACTCAGAAATGGTCTACATCTGAGCAACACAAGTGCTTTTGCTGCAAAAATTTACACCTACTTGTCTGGCTGCTGTGTTAAAATGTTAGTGTACACTGACAGTTATGGTGTAATTGTCCAAACTGCTACTAAAAATAATGCCATTTCTTGCTATCTTTCTCTCACACACATCCATAAAATGCTTCAAATCTTTCAGTGTCATTCAGCACAAAAGCTTGTAGATGAAGGCGTTGTCTCCTCTGTCACTTTTTTGTCCGAGTGTTAAAGCGCTCGGATGAGAAAGCAGTGCGGAGCATGTGTATGAGAGAAGTCAAAGAGAAACAGGACAGTAAAGCTAGGAAAGGACACACTTGCACACTTCACTAGAGGTCTTACAGCTCTTTGGAGGTGTGAGGATGGGGGGGATGGGGGCTCTCGTTTATGTACCAGACGTGCTTTGACTCACTGCGAGACCCCACCCTCAACAGCACTGCAGTAGCGCACATCACGCCTTCCTTCTCCTTCCCTCCCCTCCCTGCTCTCCACACACTCTGCTCTTCTCTCTTCTCCATTTTTTCTCCTCTTCTGCCCTTGTTCCAGATGGCCATATACACAGTGGGCTGTTTGCTCTCGTTCTCTGGCACACACTTTTTAATACCCACCAAGTAAGCAATTCTGTAGGCTTTACCTCCCTCGTCTATCTTTCCTTCCTGCCTTCCTTCCCCAATTCCCCCTTCCATTCTTTCTCTAGTAGACTTCCATGTTCACCCTTTCCTCTCTTTCTTGCTCTACTTTCATCATTCCTCCTGGATGGTAACCAAATGGCAGCTCCTAAAATCCACCCCCTTCCCTCCTTCCTTCTCTATATCTTTCCGCCCCCTGACAGGCTGCCACACTCCTCCTTCTCCCAGACATTCTAGTGTTGTACAGTATTTGGAAAACCATGTGGTCATCATTTTCTCTGCAGCTATAACCCACAATGAAAAGGCTCGACTTTAGCGTGACTGAAATTATCCTGCTGAGTCCACAAATACACACACACACACACACAGTTCCTCTACTACCAACCTAATGAATTCAGAGGCAGAGTAACAATAAAGATGGACACAATTAACACAGACGAAGGTCAGGGTGTTAGAGAGCCAGTGGGCTGTAGACTCCACTTGTCTACTACACAGTGTCACTAAATCACCTGGTATACACACTACACATACCACATTTACAGGTGTGAAAGGACAAGGACACACTGCAGGATCATTAAGCACCGCACCAAATCACTGCCCAAACAGTGGGTGATGTAGTGAGCACAATCAACATAAGCAAATTGCCCCTAATGTCAGGGGCTGTTAAAACAGAGAGCACAAGCAGGAGGCAAATAAAATGCAGCTACAACTTCAGTGAAGATGTGTGAGCACCAGTGGGCTGGACAAAATGCGCCAGAGCTTCAATTAAGTATTCAGGAGATAACGATTTCCTGTGCACCTTTAATCCCCTGCCTCTGGATGACACAGAGGTGGGGCAGAGAAAAATAGAGACCCCGGCAGGAAGGCAGAACGAGACAGAGAAGGAAGAAAGTTGGAAAAAGTGATTCTGAGACGCAAGAGAGTTGAGGAGAGAACCTGGAAGACAGATGGAAAGACAGGAGTGAGAGCAGGAGGGAGTGTGAGTTTGTGTGCGTGTGTGTGGGGGGCCACTGCAATGCAGACACCTTTTGGCATCAGCAGAAGTGCCAGCTGTGCATGTGCTTATCAGTGTGTCTGCCACAGACTCACCCTCCTTAAATACCATAAATTAACACTTTGAGGGCTCCTCTCACAGCCACTAAAAGGTGCTGGAACAATGAGTCAATTAATCGATTAGTTAATCACAAAGAAATTATTATTATCAAACCGTTATGATAACTGTTTAAACTGTTTCTCAAGCACAAATGCCCCAAATTAGCTTATTCCAGCCTCTCAAAGGAAAGGATTTGCTGCTTGTCTGTTTTATATCAGTGTATACATTTTGGCCTTTTGGTCAATAATGATAACAAATGAAAGTTTCAGCCTTAGTATGGTCCTCTGTCTAGCTCTGGATGCGGTACTAACAACATACTACTAAAACATCTCTTGGCCTGTGCTGTCTAGTGACACAGAGGCCAAACAGTGACTAATGGGTTGCTATAGGAAACCCGTCATTAGCGTTGTTTTTGTCTCAACAGGAGGATGGTCTAACAGTAGGACACATGGAGCGGTACTCACATTGCTACAAACACACACTCATATAACACACTTCTAGATATTCAATGTAAGTATTTTATTAAGCAAAAATGTTTGCTGGATTCAGTGTCTCAGATGTCTTTGTTTTACAGCATTGTAAATGTTATATGCTTGGATTTTGGATTGTTGGTAAAATCAAGCAATGTGGAGACATAATCTTGAGTTCTGGTAAATTGTGATGTACATATTTATGTATTTGTAAGTGTACTTTAAGAGACCTGCCTTCTTTAAAAAAAAGAAAGAAAGAAGAAGGATGCAGCAGCGCATTACAAAGAAATAAAAGAAAGCCATGTTTGCTCTGTTGTGTGACTACTGTTGGCGTCCATTCTGGTTATGCAGAAGATGTCAGAGCTACGTGATAGCAATGCTCACCCTGTGCAATGAAACACAAACGTGCATTGGAGCCAGGCGGACTTGAGTACGAGATGGATCCCGGTGGCAGCACAATGACAGAATAAAGTGCAGTACAAAAGACTGCAGCGAATGCAGAAGAAAAGTATGATATCTACAACTATTTGATATCTGAACACAATCATGGCCTGTGTGAAGTACATTTCTACTCACCATGTGTATAGGTGTGCTGGTCAGGTCTCTCTCCGTGACCAGTCGGTCCTGGTCGGTGACATACAAGCCCTTCTGAGCCAGAGCCTGGATGACAGCGTTGTGTCCCAGTAAAGGTTTGACAGCATCGCTGCGGAGGATCAGGCTTCCTGCCCGGCAGTAGAGCTCTGCAGACTGAAGCAGGCAGGCCACCGGTGGCTTCAGGTGCTCCTGGTTGTACTGGTCCCTGTAGAAAGGCTCGGCCAGCTCTTCTGGTACCTCATCTGAACAGAGAGAAAGAGACAGAAGAGGAGAGAGGAGCTGGGTTAGGGCATCTTTTTGAGTTGAGAGAGAGACCTCCTGTCCTCCAGTTGCATCGCTGCCGAGACACCATCATGGACAGAGAAGCAATCATTTTAGGCAATAAAGAAAGTCATACTGCCGCCCTTTCTACATTTTAATATCTTTGTTGTTGCTGCCATGACTTCCCCATATTGTGGCTCCTTTATGGCAACAACCAGCTCCAAGCTTGTTACACATGTACAATCACATACTGTACATCCTGAGAAGGCACTATACATGGCAGAACCTCCTGAACATCATCACTGAAAAGAAATCATTCAAGAAAAAACAGAAGAAAATGAGTTACTGTAAGCCATAAGGATAGTCACTGTGGAAAGGCTGCACTATTACAATAATAAGCACAGCAATTTCATGTGCATCTTTGTTGTTATCTTACTGGCTTCTTGTGAACACAGAGTTAATGTGTGTTTTCGTTTTTTTTTTAAGTGTTTGTATGTGTCAACTATCAGTAGTCTACACGTGTTGGCGTAAGTGTATGTTACAAAGCACGGACTACCTTTTATTTTCTGTTACCTCATCCAGTAAATTAGATTTGAAGAAAATAGCTGCACAAAAAAAGCACACACAGCTACACTTCTAACAATCAGTCTTCATCATATCGCCATGCTATACTGTTGTTTACCACATATTTTGACTCAAAGCTAAACTTTACTAGTCGTCAATCTATCACTGAATGACATTCCTACTGTGTCTATGCACATCTTCCCCAGTTGTATTAGTTTAGACAGACAAGATCCTTGTATAGGAATGAGTGTACGGGTGTGTGTGCATGTGTGTGTACGGGAGCACACTTGTATGTGCGCTCCACTATGAGTGTGTATTCCTAGTGTCATTTCCTCTCTGCCTGCTTCTGAATCACACTGAGGGAAACAAAGGACACTGAGGGAATTTATACAGTTTTTTGTTCTTTAGCCTCCTAAAATACCAGCAGAAGCAAAAGGGCTCAACAAAACAACAAAATCAGACATTTAAAGTTCAATGAAGAAAAAAAAACATCTATTAATCTTGTGATCACACCTCAGATGTTCTCCAGGAGCTGTGGTTAGTGCAGCCTACCCCCATGCCTCTGTGCTGGCTGATGAAAAGACAGATTTAAAGCAACAGGCAGATGTTTATCTTCAGCATGTACTTTATAGTAATCCCTACTGTGTGTAGCCACATATTAAAATCGATCCAACTTTTGTCAGAATGTCTGTAATGATTAATGAAGTTATACTTAAAGGATTCAGTCATTGAAGTGATGTTTGTATGAGGTAATACAGTGCATTTTAAAAACACAGACTCTTTAAAGAACAATGGCAACCGAAGTTCATCTGTTTACGATTTTATGCTTAATGGCGTCTAAAAAACATTAAAAAGAACAAAAGAGCAGGCTACAACAATGCAGTCTTTACACAAAGAACACACTTTTTGCGAGCATGAAAATTTGCCTCATCAAGTAAAAACCATCTCCTTTGTGTTGGCCATCAAAGAGGAAACAGACAGGAAGTAGCTGCCACAGGAAGGACGGAAAGGACTGCTCCCCTGGAGCACCCGGCGATCACAGCTCAGCATGCACAGCATCAGGGTCAGTGGCGTCTGCTGGCGTACCGCACTTTGCATGCGAACAAAATCTTAGTGATCTATTTTGCCAACTGGTGATGATCACACAAGTTTAAAACCAGATCTTCCATTTGATACAAACCATGACTTTAGTCCTGTAATAACAGATTTGATTGACTTGTTGGGTGCAGTGGAACCAGTAAATACTGACATATGATCACCTTTTAAGCCAACTTAATGAACCTGTCAGCTAACACTTGCCAGTTTACACATCCAGCAAACTTTTACTAACACCATCACTCAGTTTAGGCCTTGTCTGATGAATGCACGTCCAACAGTCACTCTCCTTGGACCTTGTTTTTGGTCATACGATGCCAATGTGGAGACACATTAGGATAAAAGTATGAAGACGGTAAAGCTGCGCTCATTACACACCCACTCGCCAAACTCTGCATGTACAAATGCAGTCTCCCACTCTTTTTTGGATTATGTACCATCAGTCCAGGCCTTAATACACACATTTTGTGAGAGTCGTACACCTACACTACCAGTTGAACGTTCGGACATGCATTCTCATTGAACTGAATGAGAAAGTGTTTCCAAACTTGTGCTGGTCTTTTATATAACTTCTTCTCTGTCTCTTTTAGAACCACATTCCCCTTTTCTTCTTAACACTTCTGTTTTGAAAAGCGCTGCATAAATAAAGTTTGCTTGCCCGTGTGTCTCTGTTAGCACAAATGTGTGCATATGCAAATCAGTTTTAGTGCAGAGTTCCAGCTGATGAGAAAGTTGTTACAGCTGAGCATCACCAGACTGAAACCACTGCTCCTTCATCCAAACTAGGCCAAAACAAGGCTCTGAGGACTGGTTATGAATTGGGCCACAGTTCTCGGTGGTGCTGGGAGCTGAAACTGTGTCGCTGGAGGGATGGGGGGTAAAAAAAACAAGGCATCAGTTAGCAGTAAGCTAAGAGTGCAGGTCTTGTAGAAATAAGCATGGCACTCTCACATGTTGCTGTGTGGTATCGTGTATGTCCCTCCACCATTTCACACTCTGAGAGGGAGAGAGGAGTCATGTGCAGCCTTGTTATGGCACACACTCTTGGGTGTGAGTCAGAGGTGTCTTTTCTGATCCCTCTCTTTCTAGGTTTGTCTCTGTGGCAACCGCTCAGAGACTCCGAGTGCTGTACATGGAGGAGCAGCTGTTAAACACATTCATTAACAGCTGGAGTAAAACCGCTGCGCTCTGAGCCGGCTGGAATTACTCTGTCGTTTTTGTGAGGTCAGCCTGCCAGAGCTGTCTCCAGACTACAGTGAGGACAGGGGACGGGCCAGAGCTGGGATTCACACACACATTCATGTATAAACAGAGATTACTGACACACAAATCCGCATGAAAGCATAACAGTTATTACAGTCAAGAAAATAAAAAAAAACCTAACAGTTACAGTAAAATAGATGCCAACTAAAACATTTAACCTTTAGACTGCCTCCAAGTAAAACAAGAGGATCAGATTTTATTTCAGAAGCCATCTGACTTATGAACAGCCAAAAGATGATCTGTTTACCTGCTTCACTAACTGAGAAATACAGGTGGATTTCTGTTTGTCTAAATCGTGTTTGTCTCAGAATGTCGCTTCAGGGTCACATCAAGTATTTTGCATCACATTTTCTGACATTTGTGATAACTATAAATAGCTGCAGTCCTAAACTGAAGTTACCGACCAGAGGTTAAGTCCCTGTCTGTTGATTAGCCATCAGATGGTAAAGGCTGACAGTGAAGGTCTGTGGGCAGTGAATGTTACATAATAGGTTTGGCCTGACTTCTGAAGTGGGGGGTTATTAACACTAGCAAGCAACAGGTTAGCCCCATGATATGATGTAGTGATCTAGTAGATTTGACCTATAATTTCCAGGACTGTTGTATGAAAACTGCAACATAAACAAAACACATAAATGTTGCCTTATTTAAGCCCAAAATACCGGTTTGATATCTCTCACTATAAGGATATGACATTTGTCCTTGTATTTTAAAGATCAATTCTGATTTATTTTTATTAAATGGAATAGAATGAGAATAAATATGCCTCTTTATGACAACAAGGGGGGGGGCGGACTCTTAAATAAGCAAGTGGTTTAATTGGTTTAGTGGCAGTGACAATGATTGTCTGATTACAGGCTGTTGTTTACAACATAGTCCCAGCTGTAAACCCCTTGGGTCAAACATCAGGCCGCGTTATCACATGTTAGATGATTATCTTAACTATGTTTTGCACTAATCTCATCCAGAAAAAAAAAACGATCCGGAGGCGCCACCTACCCGAGCCGAAAGCCTTGGCCACCAGCCACGTCAGGCTGCATGAAATCTTGGCCCTGGTGAAGTCGTAGTGATCGAAGCTCTTGATGGCAGGGACAATGAAGGTCCGTCTCATCCCTCTGTCGTCTGCCGCATCTCCCATCTTCTCTCCGTCAGGAACCCGCTACACTGCAGCCGGAGGTTCACTCAACCAGAGAGATTCCTCCCGACTGCGGATGACATCCCGTCCTAAGGAATTCAATGCAGCAAAATCTCCCCTTCTTATGAAAAAGGGAAAAAAAACTTTGAACGTGGCCTGATGCTGGAGCGCACGAGGAGTTACAAAAGGCGCTCCTCGGTTACATGAGCACCGTCCTTAATTTTATTTTCCGATGTTTTAGGACTGTCCCTGAATCCTAACGGCAGAGCAAATTTTAGAAGCAGGAATTCTGAAGACTTCCTCTATTCCCTAACATTATTAACCCCAGGTTGTCAGACAGAGCAGCTGTGTGGCAGAGGAGGAAGACTACAGCCTGGCACCAGGGAACAGCTTCACACATAACCCAAAGAGGCTGTTTGAGTCCATGTCGGTATTTTTCTTTCCTAACTGTTTTCCTGCCTCCTCCCGTCTCCGCGGCGTCTCCTCTGCGCTTTTCCTGCTGCACTGATCGGAGCACAGCTCGCATTGCGCATGCGCAGTACATCCACCCAGTCTATTCAACCCCGACAGGAGTAACCGGCGTATAGCAAAATATAAACCAAGGTGGAGCTCTCCGAAATGTTCTTTCCATGGAGAAAAGGACAAAACTGTTCTCAAAATATTGACTCAATTAACTGTAAAATGAAGAGTCAACCACAGCTGAAAGTGCGTATTTAGTGATGTTTTGGGAGGATTTAGAGGAATATTTAGGCGATTTATGTTACAGCACACAAGTTCCATACATCACTGCCTGAGTAACCCTGTAGTACCAAAATATGTGATAGAACAGGCTAATTCTACCACAAAATTACACACCTAAGTCGTAACATAAAAAACAAACCCCAAAATTCTATAGTATTTTTGCTTGAATGTCATAATTTGGATTCATTGTAACAATAAGGAAGTAGTGAAAAACATAAACTGGCAAAAGTAACTGCTAGCAACAGGTTAGAGAATTTTACTATCAACTTACATTTCATTACTAGTGTGCACAGGCTCATGAGAATGAGACATCAAACACAAGGCCCCACCTGGGCTGAGGGGCTTGTGTGCACGCTGGAATAGTTATGCAAATGGTATGAATTTAATTTTGCTTGAATTAAGTCACACATACAAACACAGTATAAGCAAGAGTGAGTTTCCATCAGGGCAGAGACATAACATTTCATCTATGCAAATCCTAAATATGCTGTATAAAGTTTCTAAGTGACAGGGCATTGTTATGGTTTAGACTCATTCAGATCACAAAAATACCTTTCACATGTTAAGACACCATTAACGATATTATTTCATTACCTTAAATGGTTTTTCCACTTAAACCTGTGTACCACTTTGCTTATATCATTTTTATTTGTAAAGAAGCATTTCCCAGTTGCAGACACCACTCATGCTGTAGCGTCATTCTCCTACATATTGATGCGGCAGCACAGGGAAAGAAAAGGATAAAAACATACTGTATTGAGAAAGTTTCTTTCAGAAGTGAAAACATGAGCAGATACAAACAGTAAAACAAGAAATACAAAAATTACAGTGGACATTGTTTTCAATGAAGACAATAAATTAGTCTGAGCTCCTCTGGTTGGTTCACCGCTTCTCATTTTCTCTCTGAACTATTATAAAGAACATGTCTGGGAATCTCAGGGTGCACTTTGGCTCATAGACAAAGTCAGAGTCAGGCAGTCTGAATGTGTCCTGGATTTTATGTGATGTCATCTGTACCTTCAGTACAGACAGGAAAGAGAGCTGAAAAAAACTGGACTAGGTTTTTAGGTCGAAGACGTTTCACCTCTCATCCAAGAGGCTTCATCAGTTCTGCCCGACTGGCATTGAGTCGGGGGTATTTTTAAGTTTTTTTCAGCTTACTATGACCTGGATGACTGCAAATCTGCACGGAAAGGAAAGAGAGCTATCACTGAGATGGAAAAATGACATTAGTCCAAATTAAGTGACATAAAGGAGCTTATTATGGAGATCTTTCCAGCTGCTAGAAGCTTAATCTGATCACCAAACCGAAGTTTGACAGTTACTGTTTTAACAAAATAGCCGAACTATACCACCAAACAATCCCATAAACCTCTGTGCAGCCTTCTATATAAGAACACTTTGAACAATGTGGAAAATGAAATCAAGATTTTATTCTATTTGAAAAGCTTGCTCATGCTGTTAGATCGACCTGCACTTCATAAGATCCTGTGAAGGGCAACAAGCAGCATGTACCAGCATTGCTCCCTGGTGCCTACAGTTTGTTCATACAACTGAAGAAATTAGAGATATGCATCACACATCGGCCAGTAGATGGCAGTCTTATTCTACATATGTAAAAATTCCCTTTTCTGCTCAATATACCTCATCTTTCCAGCTTTTTCTCATATTATTCAGATGTGACTTAATTCCGCATTTAACAGCTTATCATCTTGCACGAAAAGATTAAAACAATAAATCAATATGCAATGAATACCCTGTAGTGTCACAGCTGTGACATTTCAGTGCTCAGAAAACATTATTTCTTGAATTTTCTGCACATAAAGTGACCCCAGAAAAGGTCACTGCTCTTCTTTTCTTTGAAGTGAAACATCCTTTTTTCCTTTGTCTGCACCTCCACCCAAATCCACAGTCATTTGAGAGCTATCACCAATCATAATGTATTTAGCATTTTGAATATGAATGCTTGGTTGTGGCTGACAAAAGGCCCTGCCATCACACACCCTTAGGTTCACCCTCTCCCTGCAGGCTTTATGTTCTTGGATCATTTGCTTTTGACTGTTCTGTCTCTTAGTCAGGCTTTTCAATCTCTGCTCCCGAGTCCAGATTTCCTTTTGCTTTTGAATTTTTAATGGAGACAGTACCCTTCGTATTTTTCTCTCAAAGTTCCCGTCATCCTCAAGTGGAACTATGGCCTGCAGAACCAAAGAAATGCTGTGTCTGGGCATGCCGTTCTCCCGTGGCAGCAGCGGGATAACAGTGTTGAATTTGTGCTCCTTGTTTATGGAGTTCATAAGGGCAGATTCAGCTTCTATCTGCTGCATGCGAGTTTTGAAGTTGTGGGTAAGCAGCAGGAAGATAAAGGCCGAGTTATTGACAGCATCCTCCACGCAGCTCAGAGCGGTCCTCCCAGGGATGGCAAATTCTTCAGAGAAAGTTACACCGTTACAACCAGTGACCATTTCTAGTTTTAGCCTCATGATTCCGGCCAAATCTGCGTCCTCGGGTGCATGCAGGATAACAAATGCATAAAATATCGCCTCTTCCTCCTCCTCCTCCTCTGCACCTTTACTTTCATGCATTTCATTTGGAACAGGCATGTTAGGCAGAAGAGTGTTTGGTGGTGCAGATTTTGGTTCAGTGGTTTGGTCTGAAGTCTCGGGCTGAGTGGTATGACTGACCAACTTCATGCAGTCTGCCTCATCCATCGTTGAGTCTCTTTTTGTTTCAATCACTGCAGGTTCATTGGATTTAAACTGAGGCTCCTCAAATGACTCACTAGACTGTCCAGGTGCATTTTTTGCTTCAATATTACCAACAAGGGGGGTGGGGGTGTTCACTTCGGTTTCATCTGACGTTTCTGGAATTAAGTTGTCCCCTGGAAAACAGACTGTTGGAGGCATGCTTATCTCTAGATGAGTAGGGTATGAGGGCACTGAGGAGTTTGCCTGCTCCAACTGATCCTGAGACAGAGTAACACCTAAAGCTGGGCTTCCTTCATCCAGGCTTCTGTGAGGATTGGAATAATACCCTGACTTGAGGTCTTTTGGAGAGAACACCAATTCTGCAAACTGAGACCCACAAACATCTTTAGCTTCCTCTCTCAGTTGGTCATATTTCAGATCCTCACAACCACTTGTTTGTTTGCTGTCATTGGAAAGAGCTCTCTGATATGCCAGATCTCTCAGAAGGGGATCACACATCTTCTTCTCAGACAACACTTTAAAAATTCGAGCCAATACTGCCAACGATTCTCCTGTTAACTCCTGAAGATGAACACAATTATCTCCAAAATCCTTTAATTTACCACCAGTGATGTGATAGTTTTCAGTCAGATGATTAGCGAGACAGTTGTCCCTCAGCCTCTGGAGTTTGTCAAGGGCCTGTGCCTTCTGGAGAACGATCAGACACAAGGCCTCTATGATTTTTTCTTCAGGCGACTCACCCAGCTTGTATGTTAGGCTTAGCAGTTTCTCATGAGGTGTTTTAACTAATATATCAAAGACGTCAGCGACTCCCGTCCCTTGATTTTCTGGCTCCTCCTGACTCATTTTGAGTTATTTAAGTACTCCACCCACAGCCTTTAACATAAAGCAACAGGATCATATATGATCTGCCTACATCTTCTTCTTTTCTTCAAAGCTTTGGAGAAGTGCACACTCTTGTATCTTTAGAAATACAAACAAACAAACAAACAAACAAACATTTGAACTGATGCAATCAACATGTATGACCATAGCATTGAGTCTTTTGTGCTTCATCTGCACGTGGAAAAAAGCAGTAACCTACTGTACGTTTATTTGCATAAGCAGCCCGAATGAAACTTAATAGCTCGAACTCTGTACTACTGTTCCAGGATAAAAGGAACATTTCAATTGTTTTTGTTTTGTTTTGTTTATACTACAACAATTAAAAACTTCATGAAAAGTACTCACGGGCACTGAGCTCCAGCAGCCATGACGATGAACTTCATGTGCTCGTTTCCAGCTCAAATGAGGAAGTGATCTCTTCGCTAGTTCAGTTCACGTTATCCATGACACCGAGGCTCCGAAGTGTGGTTCGGGTGGGTTTGAGAATCACGTGATCGATGACACGCGAATCCCCGGGTTCCTACAGAATCACATGATAGCTTCAGTATGAAGTGAGGACTGACAGCTATGCAGCAGGAGCTCGCCCCTCTTGTCCTATGACCGACACACCTGAACCTTTCGTGGCTGTAGTTGATTGGTTTGCGGACGGTGCCAACTCTGCCAGTGTGTTACGTTACGTTACGTAACGTACTGAGCGTCTGGTTGATGCCATGCGGAGTTTTTGAATCGTGTCTGACTAAACTCTTGGCACGGCATAAAACAGAACTGCATATAAAAAACACTTCAAACAAATAAATAAATAAATTTCCCTTTCCTCTTTCCCATGTAAGCTAAACATTTTACTGCCCTCAAACCTATAGACAGGCTGCATAGGCCTATCTATATCTATAAATAGACCAGATAGATAAATATTATAACCCCAAATGGTAAATTCTGACCTTATTTACAACATAAACCATATAATAAACTATAGCCCTGTGCTATACTGCTGACATGATAAATTCGATACAACTTGGAATCTGTTTGCTACACAGAATCTGCCCCCTAGATCTCAGCAGTCTACAATGAGCTCCTAACCAGGCTTCAGGGCTTCGACGCCTAACGAACCGAATCTTCATCTCGCCATCATTAGGCCTACTATACATGCCGTCGGATGATATACTGTAAAATCAACACCCTGTCCTCTAACGTTAGCTAGGCCCAATAAGTTCAAAATCCAAGAATTTAAAGTCATAATCTGCAAATAGCAAACCGAAACAATTCAAATATCCCGCTCATTCCCACCCAACCACAAGCATCCTGAATCACAGGTGTCTATCCTCTTCTTCGTTCATGGTTTTCTTGCTCTTCTTCCACGTTTTAATTACGAATTTCCACCAGGTAGATCATTATCGCCACCAACTGGTAAATTACAGGATCCCAACATATATATATTTTTAAATCAGTCCTGTGTCTTGCAGATAGGATAAGACAGGTCGTGAATTTCCATTTAGTGGTGGTAGAACTACTCAGATTGTTTACTTAGCCTACAGAAAAACATCAGTACCACAGTACAAAATTACTATGTTAAAAGAGACAGTCCAGCAGTAAAACGTATTAGCATCAAAATATACTTAGAGTACCAAAAGCATGTAGAATGTCACAATTCACATTACTATAGGCTGTATCATGTTACTGGGTTATAATTACTGATGTATTTTTGCATAGGATCTGAAGTAGGAACTTTACATACTGCTTGTGGGCTTTGAATATTCCACAGAGAATTAATAAAGTCTTATGATTAGGCTATACTGTATTTTGTTGTATTATTTTCATTAAAAAAAAAAACTAACTATTAGGCCTAGCTAAAGTTAGCAAATAAATATAGGCCAGTGAGTACCAAGTACAATATTTGTATTTGAAATATTGTGAAGCTGAGGTATGAAGTAGCAGAAAATGGAAATACTTTAGTAAAGTACAGATATCTCAAAACTGTAATTAAGTTTACTTAGTTAATTTCAGTCTCTGTTCCCAGTGGGCTATTAATTAGGTGCAGGCCTCTGCCAGCTTCAAGCAATTTTTGCACAACATAATAATGATGTTACAGATTGTGAAGTATGGGAGCTCATGGGGGACAGAAAAATAAATAAATAAATAAAATAAAAGCAGGAAGATGCATTCATGATCTGGTAAAATCAAAATTCTCCACAATTCCAAGTTATGCCATCCTGAGGAGATGCTATTCATAATGCAAACAATCACTTCTATAATTGTATTGTATGACATTCTCGTGATGTATCACAGATCTACTGAAAGTAAAACCTGTAAAAACTTTTAGAAGTCTTTAGCTCCTTGTGCACAATAGGCGCAGAGGAGAGAGAAATTCTGGCTTTTCTCTTTCTCTGCTGAGAGGCAAGTATATTTTTATCCACGGAGGAAACCTCCAACCCTGTATTTACCAGGGGTGGGGTAACACCAGTCAGAGTGCAAGCCAACATCAAATCCCCCAGTACAGTGCAGACAGAGAGCAGTGTGATATGTTTACTGAAGGATTACAGTAACTCTACAGGTTACTGTGGTTTCCATACCGTCCTCAAATATGACTATTGTAACACTGGTGCATGTGTTTCTTTACACAGTAGAGTTTCCCCATTCAGCTGAACTAAAGCATGGCACATGTCACCAGTGCCACTACTCTCCAGTTTTAAGCATAACTCCATCTTTATCTTTATTTAGCCATCAATATACAATGAGTGACTGTACAAAATATTAGAGGGTTGGGGGTCAGATACAGACTAGGGCATTAAGCTGTTCTTTTTGCTAAATGGAGGGTAATTTGGTCTTTTCTGATCATTTTTTTTCCTCACCCAGTTTGGGGGTCACAGCCCCCAATGTTCCTATTACAACAGGGACCACTTGTGCCTTCACCTTCCACATCTTTTCTAGCTCTTCTTTCAGCCCTTGGTATTTCTCAAGCTTCTCGTGTTCCTTCTTCCTGATGTTGCTATCACTTGGGATTGCTACATCTATCACTACGGCCTTCTTCTTCTGTTTGTCCACCACTACTATGTCCAGTTGTTTGGCCATTATCAGTTTGTCAGTTTGTATCTGGAAGTCCCACAGGATCTTAGCTTGGTCATTCTCAACCACCTTTGGAGGTGTATCCCATTTTGACTTTGAGACTTCCAGCCTGTACTCTGCAAAATATAAGACTCTGCCCCTCACCCCGCTAAATAATTTTTGTACAGTTAAGCATGCAGTAAGTACATACATTTACTTATAGACACACAAACAATATGTGCCTTTCTCACACATACACACAAATAAACACTTACACTTTCTGCTCCAAACATGAAAGCACAAACACACATCTGCACAGCCTCAGGATCATCCTCAGTTGGTTACGTAACGTCCTGCCAAAAGTCCGTCTTTATTTAGGTCAGTTCTCTTAACAAGACACACACTCTCCCAGTAGCTTTGTTAGTCAGCCTCTGTGGTAAATTTGGCTTCACATTCAGGGAAAACACATAGTAAGAGGCTCTGTCAGTTCTGCAAATTGTAGTCTTGTATAGCTTCTGTAATGGTGTTTTGAGCAAATGCAACCTGACCTGTTTGTTTGTTTAGAGGAAATATTACATTATTTCAAGACAAACACATGCAACCCTTCCCTTACATGGTTGAATGCACAGAGCAGTGTGTGTCTGTGTGGTTTCTGGCCGTGGGAGAGAGCACTGAGGGAGACACAGAGGGGTCACATATAAGAGGCTTTAGGGCAGATGAGTGAAAAGGAGGCCCTTTCTTGGACAGAGACTATGGATTAGGATGAAAGACATACGACTGGGGGGATGCTCTCTCTTTTTTATCTGTCTAACCCACTTGCTACACATCTCTCCTACATTCTTTATTCAACATGGGCAAGAAATAAAGATTGCAAATAAAGGCACAAGAGAAGATACAGAAAGAGAAATGTAAAGCCAGATATATAAGGTAGCGAGATAGTGAAAAAACAGGAGACAGATTGAGACCTAGACAGATCGATAGCTTTAGAGATCAGTTTGAGAGAGGACGAAAAGAGGCCATGCAACACACTGCCCTTTTCCCAGCCACTTGATTCGTCACACATGCTAAGAGAATTTAACACACTCGCTTTGGGCAGGGAAACCTGCTTCACACACATGTACTTGTGAAGACATACAGACGTACAAGGCTGTGCGCTCATTCGGTCTAGCATCTACACACAGTTTCTGCACTACAGCTGCTGCCACACTTTGAAGAGATGTCTTCCTGCATTCTCTACAGTTTTGAGGTTATGGATGATTGTAGCTTTAGGTAGCCTACATATATTCAAATAAACACATACATGTGCTATGTATCAAAGCAAAATGTTATGTTGTTGACACAGCAGGCTAGCAGATCTGAGTTAATGTGACAGTTAACTAGCATTAATTCAGGAGCAAAGGTAAATGAAGTGGGCCTGTGGACATAACAGGAATATGCCCAGGGATGGGAAGATGTGTGTACTGCACCGTGCTGGACCATGCTTGGATGAGCATGTAGGCCATGCCAACAACAATGCATAATAAGCCTCTGGTAATGGGGGATAGACACACACACACACACACACACACACACACAACACAGACACAAAAAACCTTATAGATATACATTTGTACATACACATACTCAAACTTGCATGCATGCACAGACATTGATATGATGGGGCATGGAAGCTCATATCACAAGAAAGTCTTTGATCAGTGTGACAGGAAGGGCACTCGCCCCAAAGGTATTAGCTAACTCATGCCTTGCAAAAGCACATTCACAATAAATCAAGCATGTTTGCTTTTTGCAAGAGAGGGGAGAGAATGTCTGATATTTAGCTTCATTAATATGCTAAATAAATGAACATACTGTATATTTAGCTCAGTGTTCAGAGTAGCATGTCCAAGAGTGGCATGATAACTATAAAGTGCAGAAGATATAGAAATTCAGTTTGCATTTATAATCCGTTCAGTTTAATAGGTTGTTAATCCGCACAAGCTATTTACATGTGGTTCTTAAATTTCTCCTATCAATATATAGAAATTGCATTATTTCTGACAAATGTAGGACTCTATAATGGATTCAAGTTCAAGTCCAAGAATGGATTTCTAAAACTATAGTATATTTTATGACAACAGCTTGAGGTTGCTCAACATTTTTTCTGGCCCACTGTCTTAAATTTAAACTTAAATTTATATTTTACCTGAAATCCTTCAGAGATCTATGTTTTATATTTACTTAATACTGTAGTTTTACTCATTTCCTCAAAGAATTAATTTGAATTGTTTGTTTTTAAATGCATTTATTTGTGTTTTTGTGGAGAGTTAGATGAGGAGATTGATACTCAGTATAAGCCCACAGCTAGCCGTTGCTTAGTTTATTTTCACTTAGTTTAGCACAGGAAACAGGGGAGCACTTTCTTTGTGTTCTGAGAAATAATCATTACACTTTCCTTCTGTAAAGACTGTACAAGTTATATATAAAGCATTAAATAGTTAGCTATGTTAGCCATCTGTCATTAGCTCATCTTAGAGGTATTAGTCTTATCATCTAACTCTTGAAAGGGAAAAACACAATTCTTTTAATATTGTCATTGAGTTTCTCCATAATTTTACTATTACTTCTTCTCCTTACAACATTTAGTAGGTCGCATGTCTGCCCATTTCGGAAGAAGGGCTTTCCTCCTTCAAAGTTTTCTTCCTCTAATTTGCCATCTAATACCTTTTTTGTGGGGATTTTCCTTCTGACATAGTTGGTCTAAGGACAGAGATGTTCATATTGCAAAGCCCTTCAAAACAAATCTGTGATTCTGTGTTGTATAATTTAAACTGATATGATAAATTTAATTATTTGCAGTGAGAGGTTGTTAAAGGTTTTTAAAGGCATCCACCCAGTCATAGATGTGCTAACAATTGAAGGACATGAGAAAATAAGAACATAGACCTGGAGAGAAGAGGAGAGAAAAAAGAAAGGAAAGAAATTAAAACCTACAACCTAACTAAAAGAACAAATTGACCCAATCTGGCTGCACTTGATCTGAAAATGACTGCCCATCCAAAACCCCATGCCCAGTCCCCCACGTCACTTTTGTTTCTCTCCAAACCGTGCGGATGCTTCACTTGTATAGCAGATGCACACAACCAAAGGATGTGAGGCATGAAAGCAATGGGAAATTCATTACATATTCCCACCCCCCTCCGTTCACCATAATCACCACAATTAGCAGACATCTGCAGTGACTCCAAAGCTGGGAGTGTATTCAGGCAATCAGAGTAGCTTCACCGACAGCACT